CAATTCCAGCTCAGCTCCTGTCCAAATCAACATTCATGGGGAAGGTCTCAAAAGTCATTTGTTACTTACCCCAGCAGCTGTGCAAAAAGTATTCATCTGAGCAGGTAACCTGCCTCAGCTACGTGCTCACCAGTTTTTGTTTCTGATGACTGAAAAAGTTGTTCTTGACTCACCTGCTGTTTTTCAGAACAGTTTCTTCTAGTGCTAGCACTGCTCTTTTCTCTTTACATTAAGAGACAGCAATATTAAGAAGAGTGAGAGGTTAGCTGATTTAATTAGTAGCTGCTGAGTGATGAGTAAAGAGCAGCACTGAAGGAGGGAAGCTACCCGCAAAATTGTGTCTGAAGTAAGGAAATAGATGAATGGCAAAAAACCCCGTTAGTGGTTATTTCAGTAGTTTGTGGAATAGAATTGTCTTACTTAACAGACCAAGAAATAAATGGAAACGGGTGGCAAGAGAAGAAGTAAAAGCTTTCTAAGGCTTTGGTTGTCACTACTGTTCAGAACCAGACTATCATTTCAGTTGGGATGGCCAGTAGTTTGTTGTGATAAACAGTGATTTCAGTTTATAGAATACTATGTAGCATAAATAAGATGCGTTTTAAGGCTCATCTTTTGATCAGTTCTGTTCTTACATGGGGAAATAAGCCCAGGCTGCTGTAGTATAGCTGCAAACAGCGAATGGGTTGAGGTCGGGGTTTTTTTGTTGCTCTTGTTTTTGTGGTGTTTGTGGGTTTTGTTGGGTTTTTTTGTTTGGGCTTTTTTGGGGAGGTTGGGGTTTTTTTGGTTGGTTGGTGTTTTTTTTTTTTTGTCTAAAGCTCTGTTAGTCCATCCCACACACACATTCCCCACCCCTGCTTCTCCCATCTAAGGCCAGGGAAACACTGTTTTTTGTCAAGCACAACTCACACCTGTCCTCTAACCTCTGATGCACAATTGAGATAGGTTTCCTTCAGAACAATCTTAGGTATCAGTGCTGAATTATGTGTGATCTGCCATCCCATCTGCTCACTCCTGATGCTGCTGTCAGTTTTGAGGTGGTAACATTTGGTATGCGACCAGTGTATTGTAAGTGTGATCATTAGTTGTTCCAGGGACCTTTTCAGACATATATCAACCACCTGCATAAAGTTGTCAGTTGCCTTCACTGACTGCACTGACTTGTCAATCATATTAATTACCCTTCCTTTTAATTGTCTCATCCACTCATTTTGTTTCAGCTGCTGGTTGGTAGCTGGACTTGAAGAATTCACCTGTAAAACTTGCAATCTTTAGTTTAAAAAGGTATTCAAGCGCTTTTCCTCATTTCTTTGTATTTGTACTGGTGTATTTAGGTGGTCCTGTACCAAGAGACATTTATCAGAGAATTAAGAAGCTTGAAGATAAAATCCTTGAGCTGGAAGGACTGTCTCCTGAATATTTTCAACCTGTAGTAAGAAATTCTCTGAACTTCTTTTAGCATACCTAAATGAATTTGTGACTGTTGTGCTTCAATCTTTGATGTGCAGACAAAAACCTGAGTCAGAGGGCAGGCGCTTTTGATAGACAGCTCTGGCTTGATGTAATAGTTATATTTCATGTGGACCATCTGTGTAAGGTCATATTTCTACCTAATTTCTCATTTGAAATAAAATAGTATTGGTGGGGGTAGGGGGTGGGGAAATTGCAGCAACCCTTAACTGATTTGTAAGAAATAGAGGTTAGATTTCTCGC